CTAAAATTAAAATTCATGGAAAGTTACCTAATCTTTGATAGATTCTAGTCAATGATAATCCTAAGGAATACCTGATAAATAAGATGATGCTTCATTAAATAAAGAGGGATTTCTGGCTTTCCAAAGCAATTAATTTAAAAGAGGAAAGTAAACAGTTTCTAATCCATGACCTCAGGATACACTGAATTTAAAGTTTGATTTAATTTTGGGTCTGAATCATACAACTTCACTATGGCAAATACCATATAGTGTTATTTTGGTGGAAGCACTGAAAAAATATGTTAATATGTAATTATCTGTTCCCTATTAGGGAAGACCAAGGGAGAGAAACTTATCTCTGAAAAACTCCTATCAACTCTAAGCCTGAACTAATAAACTGATAAATTATTTCAAAATATTAATCAAATTTAATAAGCTAAATGAAGAATTGCAAGTCCCCAACAGGCTCTGACAGAGCAATACTGAACCTTCAAGAAGACAGCATTCTTTGGAGAAACTTAGTAATACTGGCCAAAGAAGGACAGATGCCAAGTCACGAACAAATAGGAAAAATATAAAGAATGTGGAATATTTTTAGAAGAGCAAAGAATTCATCACAAATAATTATGACTAATAAATAGCAGTAACTTCCTGCCTTAAAACTCAGTGTTAAGTCTTTAAGACAGGGAGTGTGCTTTAATCACCTACATCTGTTGCCTTAATCAGCTACACCTCTAACACTTAGAAAAATGCCTGAAAAAAAAAAAAAAAAAAAAAAAAAAAAAAAAAAAAAAAAAAAAAAAAAAAAAAAAAGCTAACATATTTTAACATTCTACAACTTATAAATCATGTATAAACATTATAAATAATGGTTATATATTATAGCATGTGATTTCCTCTATTTCATTTATCATTTTATTGACACTCAAAGGAAAAAGCATATAGAACAAAATCATCTGAAAAAGTTCATAGGTTTGGTCATGGTGGGTCATACCTGTAATCCCAGAACTTTGAGAGGCTGTGGTAGAAGAACTGCTTGAAGCTGGTGTTTGTGACCAGCCTGGGCAACATAGCAAGATGCCCATATTTACAAAAATTAATAAATAAATAAATTAGCCAGGTGTGGTGGCCAGTGTATGATCTATTCTAAATGGATTATCCCATTAAATGCTCATAATTACCCTGTGATGTAGGTAGTACTATTAGTCTTAATTTACAAATATGAAAGCCAAGGTATAGAGAAGTTAACTAAACTAAGCTCATACTAAGCAGTAGAACCTAGAACAAAGCCAAGTCCAAACCTAGAGTCCCCATTTATCCCTCGAAGGCAAAAAACCCACCAACACTTCTTGGTAAATACAACATTGGTTTTCTAAAATCAATTTAATTATGAATATATCATTGGTCATCATTAAAGGATGAAAACATACAGTGCAACAGATTTTTAATCACTTTTTTGGTCTCCAGGCAATCACTTTTTTGATCTCACTCACTCACATAGCACATAGTAACCCTAATCACAACCCAGTGATGGAGCTGAAAAGGAAATACCATGGAGCTGGTCCTAATATACTCCTAGGAGGTGTCTGCCTTACCTTGGGAATTCCAAAGTATACATACTTACACTTTTATCTGTAAGCAATACTACTTCTAACTCAACCCAAATCTTGCTGTGGTTCCAGAAGATTTTTTTTTAATGTATATTATTCAAGGAGCCACACATTTCTTTCACGCAAGACTCACATGAAAAAAAATATACCATCACATACTTTTATATCAACTCATAATAAAGAACTGAAATAATAAAATATAATAGCATGCTATTTTTTTCAGGTTTAATCTGTTTCATTCAGCAGCAATAATGATCTCATCTCATATTCTACCACCTTGGAATATTTAAAGAAGGATTTTTTTTTTTTGGAGGACTGCTAATAAAATTATCATTGACATTTTAATTAAAAAAAGAAATGTATGTAGAATAAACAGGATGCTTCCTGGAAGAGTCTGCAGTGGCTGCCCCATTGCTTCTTTGTACAGTCTTGGTAAATTATGCAGGCTCTCACTAGATAGAGCAGCTGTATTTCACTGTCTTTGGTAATGTAATCTACATTTATCACTATTTTAATTAACTGGGTTCTTAATTTGATACTCTCATTGCAGAGAAAAAATACCTGATTCAATTTTTTTTTTTTTGGTAGACAGTATCTTGTCAGTCTTGTAAGCCAGAAGGTAATTTTAAACATATTTCTTACTGTAACTGGTCATTATTTTAAAAGGAACTATCATATTTGGTTATTAAGAACTTGTTCCTTTTCATTCTTTCAGCTTAAAACATTGGTTACTTCTTTATAGTGATAAAAAGATAATTTCATGGCTCTCAATTTTAACCCATGTGATATATTAAAAACAATAGGTGGTTTATTATGTTACATTCAAGATTACTCAAAAGTGATACAAAACATAAATATGAACTTTACAAGAAAACAATTTACTGAATATTGAGACCATTCAACTCCAAAATTCTTTGTGTAAGATTATTTTTATCATCAGGTCATTTGAAGTGTCTGAATCTTTATCTAAACGAATCATTGTGGAATATAACATCTTTTAATCATACTGAAAACATGTTCTGAATATTTCTTATTCATTTCCCATAATTATTTGTAATTAAAGCAATGTTCTACTTTAAAATATTAAATTGATGAATTATGCCAGAAGTATGTTTGTTTTAATTGGTTCACAGAGAAACAATTACTTTAATATTAGATAGGTTCATAAAACTGCACTTTTATGCATAAGGTGTTTGAAATCAGTAAGGGAAGGCCTGATGTTCAAAAAATTCTGTATTTCAGCACACATTAATTGAACATCTTCTATGTGCCACATACAGAATTAGGCACTGTAAATTCAAATCAAAGTAAGACAAAGCCCTTCCACAAAACAAAAGGAGTATATACACACACACATACATAAACTGTACAGTACCAAGTGGCTTTTAAACTTTGTTGCTTTAAAGGACTCTAGGTCCCCATCTCCATTTCAACCAGAAAAGCTCTACTTTCATCTATTTTACACACTAGTCTTCTTTGTAGCTGGTGGAGAAAACAAAAGCTGTATAGCCAGAAAACACAAATAAGGGCTCTAGACTATTATTACTAAGAACTCAGGTAATTGAAAAAGTATCCCAAGTATCCTAAGTATTTTCAGATACACTAAAGGAGAAAAATTTTAAATTCCTGTTTTTTTGTTTGTTTTTGTGTTTTATCATCAGTTTTCACATGTTGCTAAAGATTGGTTTGTGGGCAAATTTCTACTAAAATAAAGATTCTAAAGTTAGCTTACTTTAAAAGTTTGGGAATGAGGTGTGTAGGGAGTTGAAAGTTAATGCATATCTCATTATGTTAGTTCACCTTACCAAGAATGCCATGCCAACTATCAGATTCACATGAATCCAGAAATTGCCAGAAAGGATTTTGAAAATCCAAATGCATTAAATGTGTTCTAGATTCTATATTAAAACTTCCTCATATAAAACAAAGCCATTTACTTTCCCACTGTGGTTTTGGAAATAAAGTTACCATCTGATGATCTATAATGACCTGGCCAATTTAAATATTATCACTAATCCCTTACAAAAACCTCAAAAGATAAGGTGTTTTTACTCCCACGTTATAGATGAGAAAGCAGGCACAGGAGTTAAAACATGTATTCAATACTACATAGTGAATACATGGAGAAACTAGGACTTTGGCCTATGTTCCTTTTACTAAAACACTTGCAGAAGCAAAATAAACTTAATCCATAAATTTTTTCTCTTCTAATCATATCTAAACACGATGCCTGTTTTTATTACCCGTAACTTCACATCTAGTTGTATTTTATAATGAAAAACTTAGCTATCAATATATACAATCAAAAAGATAACCAAAAGAGAGAGAAAAGGAAATCTAAAATGTAAATCAATACTAATGAATGACAAACACTTTAGTCATTGTGTAATTCCCTTGGTTTGAATTTAAATAATGTCATGTATAATGCCTGGGTTACACAATTCAGGAATAAATAGAAGTCAAATTTTAGGCAGCCCACTCAGGTTCTAATTAAATAGATAAAAAACAAGTACAGTGGAACTAAATTATTTTTTTAAAATACTCCTATCAGACTTCAACTTCAAGAAGATATTTCATGAAGAGACAGTACAGCCTGTAAGATTCCATCTTCCTCAAATTACTCTGATGAATGTCTGATAAAACTTGAGATTTACCATGGGATGACAAGAAGCAGCAGCCAATAATTCTAAATGAAAACTCAGAATGGTCTTTTGTTCTCTTTGTCTAAAGTAAAGCCACTAGTGAAAAACAAGAATGTCTACTTAGGAAAAAGGTCTCTTGTTTGAATAAAAATTAAATTTAAATGTCCTGCTTCTTACCTGAACATATGAACAGCTACGTCTGTCTAATGTTCACCGAAAGACTATAGAGGGCACTGTTGCATCAGCTTTGAAGCTTTACAATAGAGGCCGAGAAAAAGAAAACTGTCTATAATGTATAATTTTTCTAAAGGGTCAAATGTATGGAAATCTACTAAGCCTGATATAAAGGGAAAAAAACTAAAATGTATGTTTTTCTAAAATAGGCCGGACTTCAATGGGGGAAAAAACTTAACAAAAACAACTGTCAAACTGATAGTTTTGCACTGCACATGTTTTGCATTTCCCTTTGTAGTGCCTTCATGAGGAAGGTAACTAATCATAGCACCTCCTTATCCATTGGAAACAGCACCCCATTGCAGAATCCTCTTTACAATCAATAGGAAACTGAATGTGGCACCTTATGCAATGCTTCCATAATTCTATCAACAGAAAAAATGCAGTCTGTTTGCATACTTTTATCTAAAAGGCCAATTCCATTTGTCCCCTCTTTGGATAAAATGACAGCTACAGATCAATCACTCTCACATGAAAGTAAACATGCTAAAAAAAAAAAAAAGAGAGAGAAGAGGAATCAAAACTGAAATCTTTGCCTATTTTAAACATAATTTTATTACACATAAAAACTCAAAGCAAAATAGAAAAAGCAAGTTTTTCCTCATATTGTACTATTATACAACAGTAACAGGATGTAAAATAAATAAGTTACATCAAACAATAGTTGTGAATCTTACCTTTAAATATGGACAACACTTAATTAAGCTCCATATATTTTCTATTCTCTTACATCATTCCTATCAACAATTCTTTGAAACTAAATCCAATTAAGTACAGTGTCAAAGGTTCTTTTAATACATATATACAATAAGACTAGCACACACAACATAAAGCTTCTTATTATACTATCACTTAATTTTTTTCACTACAAATAATGCAAAAGTAAAAGGGAATTAAATTATCTCATTTTGGTAATTTGAAAATAATGTCTTGAACTGCTGAACCTCTGTAGAAACATGGACATTAGCTGTGAGAATTATAATATTATGATCAAACCAAGTAGAATATGTACAATGAAAAAGAAAGATCCTCCATTAATGTATATCTAATCACACCACCCTATCACATATTAGATAAATCCACATTAATACAGGAACCATTATAAAACTAAGCCTCTAATAAAGAAACCCAAATTCCCTGGAAAAACCATATACAACTCATTTTGTCACTCTCAAAATTCCAGAGAGATTAGCACCTTCTCTGAAATCAAAGTGCAGAACTGTTAAAAGTGTTAAAAATTCTTCAGTAATACCTCAATCTACTCATAAATCAAAAGGAGGGGAAGGGGCTTTAGATGGTATGTAGATTTCATTTTATTACAAAAGCTCCAGTTTAACAAGTTATTTTCAGCCAATAAAAGTCAAAAAGTAAAGCATTGTTAAAGTGGCTAGTACTGACTCTGAGGCTTTCCTTCTTAACTGAAATGCTACTTGAGTATTGCTCCCTTAAATTATTAATTTATGGGTTTTGCTTAGTCTCCTCCTAAGGCAAGGCAGTTCTAGTCAAAGGTATGTTGAATGCATGTAAACAAACAGAAGGCTTTTATAATGGTCCTATCATTCACTAAACATAATAAACAACCCTTTTTAATTAATGTTGAATGTATAATCCTATGAACCAAGTTTATATAAATAGACTATATCATTTAAAGAATCTGTAAGATCCCCTAGGAAGTAAATGAACAAATTCAGAAAAATTAAACATAGGCTGATTACTTTTCATTGATCTGACAAAACGCTTACAGCAGAATCAAAGTGCTGATGGGACTATGAATACTTTTGTGCAATTTTGAAGAAATCTAAGAGAAAGTGTCATAAACTGTGAGAAAATGTATTTGCAATATTGTTTTCAATCTACCACAGGATGACTGCAAAAAAAAAAAAAAATCAGGTAATGTCTTTTTTATATGCAGGATATTTAACTAGATATTTTAGTTTATTATTGTAGAAGAGAAGAATATTACAATCAATTTTAGTCAACTTTAATTTATGCAAAGCTTGTGAGCAATAGCTGCTAAAAGGATGCAACATTGTTGATCCATATACAAGCATTTTACTTAACTACATTGGATAATAGCAGTGCTCCTAAAGGAGTATAAAAAGCAAAGTGATTAGCAGTCATTATTGTTAATTAGTGCTCACATTACATTCCTTGGGATGAATCTCCTTTAAGTTGAATACATGGAAAGTTTATTTTTGAAGGTTTGCCAAATCTTGCCTAGGTAAGTACTGAACTAAGCCGTCAACTGCCAGCAAGCAGAATGAAAAACAGGGCCAGATCAGCATCCAATTAGTATGTCTAAGTTTTTAAACAGGAAAAGGGTTGAGGGGAATGAGTAAAACTGGAAACTCATACTTCACATTCTGCAATCTCACTGATAAAAGGAGGAAATGTGTGTTTATCAAACTTGCTGTGAGTGCACAGTTCATTTGGAGTCCTGTAAACAATTGCCTGGCTGCCCACTTCCAAAGGCATGTGAAAATCCTGGAGATTCAGAGCATCATATTCAGCAAGCAAGGTCACTCTAGTGATGCCCTGGAGATGGGAAATTAGGAAAACGTGGCAATCAGAAGTTTAGGATTGACCAGAAAAAGCCCTGAGGCTGGATTACCATCTTTCACCACCAGTCAGGCTGTCTCTGCTTATTCAGGGCTAATACAACAGGACTGCAAGTGAACTCCATGCACCTAACTGGGACACTGGCTTTCTTGTTTATAAAATGATAGGCATTTGTCACAGCAATAAAATGAAATAAAATAAAAAAATCTCTCACAAACAAGTTTTCAAGAACCAAGTCTGAAAGAAAAACAGTGTCCTCACCAACCTTCAAAAAGGACCTAGGGAATGGCTAACATCCTGCTGATTTGATAATCAATAGAAGTTTCCTTTCCCCCAATACCATTCAGTGCATTTTTAAGTAGATGCCAAATCTTCAACAAAGAACCTTCAAAAGCAATACATTCTTGTTAGACGAAAACACTGAAAAATTAAATGTACAAAAATTACACTCTTAATTCTGCCCACAGACTTAAAATATATACTACAGATATTTTTCTATGCATGTACTTAAACGAATGCATTCCATAAAACTGTTATTATACCATACAGAGTATCTGGTAATTTGTTTCCTTCTCTTAAGAATATATAAAGATGTATTTCCATAAGTTCATTTTTAATGTCATATAGCATCCCACTGTACAGATACATCATAATTTAGATTGCCAATCATTTCTAAATTTTCAAGTATATTTTAAATTAGTTCCTTAGTTATAAATTCCCCAAAGTAGAAATGCTTAGTACAGAAGGAGTGTATTTTTTGTGTCTGATGAGTTCTACCAAATTACCATCCAGAAATGCTGAACCAATTTACAGGGCTGCTAGCAGTACCTAAGGGTTATGTTTCTTCAAAATCACTATTATTTCTTATTTCAAAAATGCAGTCATAGCTGCATTTTTGAGTTAGTGAAACTTTTTTTTGGTCATTTGAATGTAGTTTTCTATGAAATGCCTGTTCATATCCTTAGCCCATATCTCTATTTGGAGACATGCTTTTCATAATAATATTCAAAAATTAGTGAGGAATTCCCCATAGAATACTAATCCCACCAATCAGAGATTATTTTAAAGAAGAGATGATAATTGTATGGACATTAAAAGATCCTATTAAGGTTGGCAACTTTACATGAACCTATTTTATAACATTATATTACAGAACAAGACTTCCCAACTTATCCAGAAAGAAAAAGAAAAGTTAAAAACTGAACTGGGATTCCAAATATATCTCTGAAACTACCTTTGTTTTCAATAAATGGAAAAGCTTACAATTCTAAGCTGGCATCATCAGCAACGTTTTGTTGTTCTTTTTACTGTTCTGTTATTCCAAGAAACAATTTAAACATATTAAAATTTGAATTGTTTTATTAGCTATTATGATAAGTCAAGAAAGGAGACTGCACCTATGGATGATAGACAAGTTCCTCATACTATTATCTTGAATCAAGTATTTAATTAAAATGTGTCACTTCAGAGAAAAGCACTAAGTGTAAGACAAAAATGAAAAATGTCCCCCTCTACCCATCCGAATCAATTTAATTTAGGGCCTCTTCTCACAAAATCATGACAGTGGCCAATACCCAAATTAATAATTCCTAATACATCTTCAGAAACAGGCTTAGATTAGAATGTAATTTCAAACCACAGAACGTGTTGTATTTTTTTTTTCTTTTTCAAACAAATCATAGTTTAAAAACTTGCAAAGCTATTACCTAGAATAGTGCTTCTCAAACAGTGTCAGAAACCACTTTTTATTTTACATTTCCAGCCCTTCAAAGACAGGAACTTACAAAATACAACAAAATAAAAATTTTAAAAGATCCAAAGTACAAGGTCAAATTTTTATTATTAGATTCAAAAGAAATAAAATTACTCTTTCATATTACTATAAAAGTTTCTAAATGCTTACGTTCAATTTCTCTATATATCGTTATCTTGAACAAAATACTTCATGGACTAGCACCAGGCTAATCCCTAGACCACGCTTTGCGTAGTAATTATTTAAAATTATTCTGAGAGCTCTGAAACAAGATCAGACACAGATAGATCACTTTGATCCCTGACTTAATAACTCGAACCCCCTTATTAAACCATATGCCTTCCCCTCTGCCTCACTGTCAATTTACACATACCTTATTATGTATGCATTATATATGTACTATAATACAGTAATATCCGTAACATCTGCAGAATTAACACAACTACAATTCTGGGAGGCAGCAGAACAAAGTGATTAAAAGTACATGTTCTGCCACTTTTCAGCTACGTAAGCTTGGATAAGTTACTTAACCTCTCTGTATCTCACTTTACTTATCTGCAAAATAGTGATAATTAACCAGGGTTGATGTAAGGATAAAATTAGAATATATGTGTATAGAGCTTATAACAGTACCTAGAAGATAGTGCTACATAAATTGCAATTATAATTACAATAAGATACTGATAATTCAAAGAAAATCACATGGCTCTGGGTTTTCCAAAAATAAATACAAAGAGGAAACTTTAAGTTGCACGATTTATGGTGTTCATGCAATAAAGACTGTCAAATAGTTATACTAAGGCTAAACTATTACAAATACTAAGTCCTGAGAGAAATTTCACCCTTGGATTGCCATGAAGTTGGCTGTGCGATATAAAAATCCTTCACATCATCCCTGGGGAATTACACAACAAAAAAAATTGAATACTTTTTTTTTTTGAGACAGATTCTCGCTCTGTTGCCCAGGCTGGAGTGCAGTGGCGCGATCTTGACTCACTGCAACCTCCGCCTCCCAGGTTCAAGCAAGTCTCCTGCTTCAGCCTCCCAAGTAGCTGGGACTACAGGCATGCATCACCACGCCCAGCCAGTTTTTGTATTTTTAGTAGAGACAGGGTTTCACCATGTTAGCCATTATGGTCTCAATCTCCTGACCTCATGATCCACCCACCTTGGCCTTCCAAGAAACTTGAATACTTCTTATGGACAGGGAACAATTATAAGAACTTAAGAGTATCCAAAGTTGAGAAACACTCAATCCCTGCCCTCATGAAGTCAGAAAATAACAGGGAGGATATATTACAAATGCAAATAATTATATAAAACAAGGCATAATATAATAACTGCCCACAAAAGTAAATAATGCAATAGAAATTTTTAAAAACAAAAGCTACACTTGAGGAAATCAAGAGCAATGCCTTGATTACATCCCTATTTTTCTCTCCTTCAACATAAAATCCAAAGGCCATTTAGAACGAACTATGTCCTCAAGGCTATTGTCCCTTCCATTACTGCTTACCTGAAATTTAAGATGCTTTATACTTCCTTCTCTTTGATCTTAATGTCTTTCTTGAGAAATGCACAGCATAGTTGTCTGTTCTCAGCAGCTACCTCAAGTGACTCTTCACTCTTTGGAAGCCCCAAAAGACCCATCTGCTCTCATAGCACATGGCATCGCATGTATTACATACTCAGAGGACAACTAATTATTGAGTATTCATGAATACTCCCAGGCTGCAAGGCTTTCTGAAAGTTATGGTTAAAATAGTAGCTGTTAAACTTTTGAAAAAAACAGACCACTGTAACACTATGAAAAAAATTTAGCCACCCTGGGCAACATGGTAAAATCTTGTCTCTACAAAAAAATATAAAAAGTATCCGGTGATGGTGACATGCACCTGTAGTCTCAGCTACTCAAGATGCTGTGGCAGAAGACAGACTGAGCTTGGGAGTCTGAGGGTGCAGTGAGCCATGATCACTGCACCCCAGCCTGGGTGACAGAATAAGACCCTTTCTCAAAAAAAAAAAAAAAAAAAAAAAAAGAAAGAAAAAGAAAAAAATTGTTGTACTCTTCCAGAAAAATTTACACATATGAAAAACTTGCATAAAATTTCAGAGTTGAAGAATATCTCTCCCTTCCAGAGTAATAAATCCTATCTTAAAAGTAATGGATTATCCTAGATTGAAATCTACTAGTCAGATCCTTATTAGCTTTCTGTGATGAAGTCCAGGATATATGATCACTCGAAATCAGAAGAACTTGGATAGGGGTTAAAGAAGTCACAAAAAATGCCAATCAGACCAATAAAAATGTTTAAAGAAGATAAATTATGAAAGGCTCAAAAGGGAAGATCAAGAGTTATTTATCAAATGATGATTGTTCTCCTTCCTTTCCCCACCTCCCTGCAAAATTACCACCTAGGAAAGAATCCTCAAGGGAACTGGTCTTAAAATAGACCACAGGGCATTTCAATGGCTCTGGAACAAATCTTATAGTAGGGAACACAGAAGAATCAGCAAATTCTGCACAAAAAAGAGACATAAACATCTGACAGTTTATGCCTCTTCTGATTTGTCAATACTGTATTTTTTGATAGATATCTATGGGGATCAATACTAGCATAATTTTGTCAAAGTTAGATAGGCTTAATTTTGATAAGTTTAACAACTGCTCACTGAGCACCCACAGTGTATGAGTACACAAAGTGACCACATGCCAGCACTGTATACAAATAAGTATGGCATAATTCTGCTGATGTTGAGAGTTAATTGCTTTTACATACAGAAGCACAAATAAAAGCTCCATTCTACTACCTCTGAACAAAGAACAATTTTTTAAATCTTTTAATTCATATACTCCAAAAAGTCTGAATTTTCTAAACTTAGTTTGTGTAGCTTTCAAACTTAAGTCCTTGCTTGAGGCTTTCTACAAATGAGTTCATACAAAATATACTGCTTAGATTTTAAAGATAAGCATGGAGTTAACATGCCAAAACAAATTTTAATAGAAAAAAATCACCTATTAGAACCATCAATATCTTTAGGTTAACCTTCTTTATCTCCTTTTGAAATGACCCATGCTTCAGTTTACTCATACAGGAAACTAGAAAACATTAATTCCACATGTCTCCTGGAAGGCTGAATTCTCTGACTGAAGATGTCTAAAACAGACCAAGATGGCCCAAAATTAAAGGCAACAAATGTAGACGGATCAATTCAATCCAAT